TGCTGTAGCTCTAGTTTGAACTGTTTGGTTTTATTTTCTTCTCTGATTAGCTTTTCTTTTTACCTAATGTAAGGAGTCTTTGGGTAATATTAAGTTATCAAGGGATGCTGTGTTATAGATTGGATGCTGGCTTATAACATTATGGATATGCAGTACAGGATAAATATCTGATATCAAAATTTTCAAGAATTGCAGATTGCAAAGTACAATCTTGTAAATTTTAAGTAAACCCAAAGTTTAACTTGCCAGTCATTATATTTCACATGCATTCTACCCCAACTGTTTATTTAAGGAAATTGAGAAGTATAATTGAAAAGCTATTCATTCATAGAGATGAATAGTTTTATTTTCTCATCCTGTTTAATACAGTAGAAGTGTTATCACCATAGCAGTACTGTATGAGGATAGGTGCATCCAAGGGCATTCTCGCACCAGTCACCCAATAATCCATATATTGAATGCCTTGTTGATTTAAACTTTTGCATTGAGATAGTGTCCATTAACCCAAACATATTAATGCTGATGTTCTAGATGAAAGTTTAGATTAGCAAAACAGTTAATAGAATCATTGTCAGGTGCTTGGTTTGAGAACAGTTGAATGTGCTTATCCTCAGACGTATATTTTCTTTTTCAGAAGTACCCTATTTACTCTTTATTTATGAGGGATACCATTATTGATTTTACAGCATTATGCAAAATAAAACCTCATGTTCATGAATGCTTTATTATCCGAGATCTTTGTTGTATGCATCCAAATTTGATTGTGCTAGTAACAGCTGAGTAATACTAAGAACTGACATTAAAATTTTTTTAACACTAACTAGGAAAGATTACACAAAGTTTATGATGTGGGGTTTTACTTATATGTCTGTGTTGTTATTATTAATAAGGTACTTTTTTTGGTTCATTGTTATTACTATTGTTTTTGTTGATATTATTATTATTATTATTATTATTATTATTATTATTATTATTATTATTAGTAGTAGTAGTAGTAGTAGTAGTAGTAGTAGTAGTAGTAGTAGTATTGTTATTATTATTATTATTAGTATTAGTATTATTAATATTAATATTAACCCATTCCCGACGGGCATGCCATGCCATGCCCACTGTGAGATTACTTGTTGGATTGTTTTCACACATATATGGCTACACTTGTACTAAATCACCAATGAGCCAGTTATGAGTACTGCCCGTCTTGCCCGTTTACCCTTTTCTTTGATTTACAAAATATTTTATGTTATCTTATTTTGCTGTTACTAATGTTAAAAAACATTATAAAAATTATAATGTTTATAATAAAAATAACACCATCGATATTCATGGCACTAGTGAAAAATACATTTTTCCTGCCATTTCAAATCAGGCGCTAGCAGAACCATCTATGGGCAGACATTTCACAAAAAATATAGAAAATAGGCACAGCATTTTCCCCATTTTTTGTTCATTTTCCCTGGCAGCAATGGGTTAATATTATTATTATTATTATTATTATTATTATTATTATTATTATTATTATTATTATTATTATTATTATTATTATTATAATTATAGTTTCATGTTTAATTTATTGATTAATTAATATGTTTATTCATTTATATAACTTCTTGTTATGGATTCTCCCAGTTTGTCAACTGCTAAGGGAAAGATGAGAGCACTTCAACATATTGCACATGGGTGTCAGCACACTTGGCTGTCAAGCGTTTGGCCAGAGCCTTGGTGTCAGAGTTGCTTGACAGTATGTGGCATCAGCTGTGTTCTTAAGTGCAATAAACACTATAGAAAAGATACAGCTTTCCAAAGTTAGCTGAATTAAGAATAAAACTAGTAGGAATGGAAAAACAGCAAACAATGACTGAAATCACTGAATTAGGACTGTTTGCCTGAACAAACAGCCACTTGAGCTGAATGGGCCAGCAGTTGGCCAACTCAGTGGTTTAAATGGCTCAGGTGTAATTGGCTGTGAATACCAGATGTTCAGGTTAGCACTTGAGGCTGAAGTTTAGAGTTTTACTAATATGGCTGTTAGTTTTATAAGCAAGGATTGGTCACTGCATTTTTGTAACTGTAGGCTTTTAAATCTTTTAATGGGACATGAATGGTGATAATAGTACTTTTGTATTTTAAGTGATTGCTGATAAAAAAGTAATTGATATTTGTAGTAGAATATTATTTGTCATTATCTAAAAGATGATAGTTATTTAGAAGGTGCTAGACCACTGGTAAATCTATTTTGATATCTCTTGTACTAATTGTGACAAGATATAAAGTATCCTTTCCATTCGAAATAGAATTATATGTTGCTTATTTTACCAACCTTGGCAAATTCATATAGCTAATCTGTTTAGGATGCAGTGGTAGTGATAGTGAATGATCAGTAATTAGATGAATAATTAATGTTTCTACTTGATTTAATTAGAACTGCAAATCCCCTGGCTTGTCTGATCCCCCTTCCTCAGCAGCAAAAAGCATGTGTTTTTCTAGTTTTGTAATGGCAGAT